GTGTGGTAGAGTCAAATGGTTAGTAGACCAGGGAGGATAAACTCCACCTCCAGTATTTCCACATGGGACATCAGGTTTTCATGGAGATCTCCTAGTTCACTTCGGCTCTTTGCCACTGTGGCCCACGGCAAAGGGAACCCATGCAGGAGTGGATCAATACAGATCCTTGGCTAACCAGCTTGGTGCTGGTAACTCAAAGTGTTTGTGTGCGGATACTGGTGATCTGTGATACTACAGGGAGTTATTTACTCTCAGGACATTAGTATACAAATGTGCCTGAAATAAGCGTTGGCTCTTAGAGAATAGGATTTCTAGATGGCATCACGCTACTGATGGCATGTATCTACTTACAGCCCGTCTTCCAAAAAGAAGGTTGGTGGGATTAGTCAGAGCAGGTACTTCTCTGTTCCTCTAGCCACTGATAGGGCAACTAGCAATGCAGAAAGCGTTGAGTCAGGGGAGATACGGCTCTTACACACTTGGGGAAGCTGGGATTCCCCCCCCCGCCATTTTCTCCGCTCCCAAAAACATGGCTAACATGGGGCTCCAGGTGCTGATTGCTCTGCAGTGCCCTGTCCCACTCACCTAGTTTTATTCTCAGCGCTGGGTGACACATTTACTCCCTCTGCGGCTGCAGAGTGATGGTGTCGTAGGCATTTGGCAGACTGAAGGCAAGGGGAAGCTGCATCCCCCAATGTTTGGGTGCTGATTTTGCCAAGTGTCCTGGATGTGCCCGTAGCCTGCTGTGCTCTGCGCAGCAGCTGTGAAGCCAGAGGCAGCTGCTTTGGTATGAGGTGGACCCAGAACTGTGATGGACGTCTTGGACTTCTGCACGGGCAGAAAAAGCTGCATAATCGGTATGAGGCCTTGTTCAAGGGAAGCCTGTGAAATCATGGATGCCACATGTGCTCCTTCCCAGCTCTCGTGCTGTGATTTTAATGAGTAATCGATAGCCAAGGCCTGTGCTGCTTTGTGGAAAGAGAAATACTGGGGAATATGTTGCACTAATAAGTTACAGGGTTTGAAAACGCACGGCGTGCTTGTGTTCTTAAATTTCTGGGGTGATAGGACTGCAAATCCTGTAGCATATTTTGCGCCCGATTAATTTTATGGACTTCATTGGGTAAGTGTTGATTTATTTGCTGCATAAAATATCAATTTAAATGTAACTCTCTGTGCTTGCTAGTTTGTGGACATGGGGTGCCATTTTATTGGCTTGTGCAGATAGCTCACTGAATTTTTTTATTCTTTAATAAAAACTTCCAGCACAGCTGCAGTTTTGCTCTTCCTGGTGAGCGTGTGTCAGCAGCAAGTGCTCTAGCGCAGCAGCTCACAAATGACTGGAAAGAAAAGGGCTTGTGGAAAGCACTGTCAAATTCACCAACCTTTCAGAAGGTAAACCAGGTTTACTTTAGGATAGGGACAGGCTCAAGGTGCAGTCACAGTCACATACTGTGGTCCAGCTAAAAACTGTTAATTCACAGTAACTTAATTGCTCTAAATCGTGTGTCCATAGTCTTCGAAGTTTACCAGAGTACCAATGAAATCCTCATCAGTTTTCTTCTGTCACAAATAGCTCAACGTTCTTCTGCTAAAGAAAACCCATTAAAAACAATAGAGCCAGAGCAGGGGAACTGCTTGTTCATCGAAAGAGAGTTAAATGTGAGAGGAAAGGATCTGCTAAGGAACAGATCAATGAAGAAGTTCTCTCTGTAGCAAAATATAACTTCAACGCTCAGGTTAAAAGTATACCTGTTGAACAGACTGATTCTGGAGTTCGCGTGGCATGGGGATGGCATGGATCTCACAGAGCCCTCTCTCATTTTATTTCAATGTTAGCTGCTGGTCTGCAGTGGGAAACCTCCAGGAGGGCTTGCAGCACCTCTCCATCGGAGCCAACTGTGACAGGATCGGGACGATCCAGCACGAGTTCCTGCACGCCCTGGGATTTTGGCATGAGCAGTCACGGTCTGACCGGGATGACTACGTGTCCATCATCTGGGACAGGATTCAGCCTGGTCGGTCGCTCCCCCGCTTTTCCTTTCAGACTCTGGTGTTAGGGGTTTGGTAGTGGAACATCTCTCCCAGCCATCCTTCAGTGGCCGTGCTATTCTCTCACCTGGACTTAGTTTTCAAAGCCAGTGTACCAATGCATTAAATACCAAGTGACATCTATTTGGGACAGAAAGACTCGTTTCTGTTATTCCTTGCACCACAGCAGTTCCCAGAGACCTCACTAGAGAGCTGAGTCCTGCTATGCTACATGTTGTACAGCAGAGCAACAGAAGAGAACAATTTAGTGTGTTTAGATGAATACCCTAAAAGCATTGTCACTCTGGGAGCCCTTAACAAAACAGAAGTAATTGGAAAAAATAAAATCCTCCCACTCTGAAAAACCCAGTGCAACCAAAGCCAGTAGAACATCTCCAGTGAAAACACCGGTCCTCCTCTTTCTCCCCGGCCGCTACACGCGGTGCGGGCAGCAGAGCTGAGAGGGCAGAGGGTGCAGAGAGGGTGTGCAGACGGGAGAGACCCTTTTCGGGGTCCGTATCACACGAGCGGTTACTTTAGCGATGCAGCTCGTAAATATAAGTGTTGGCTTATTTGGCCCAAGCCGGAGAGCTGGCACAGCATTCCTCGCGACTCCGCTCGATCTTGCTGTTGTCCTCTGTGACTTCCAGGCCGTTCGAAAACAAAACTATACACACAGACGGGATGCTTTCCTAGCACAGGTACAGACGGAATACTGAAAAAACAGATCGTGATTAAATCTAATGCATTCTTATTTAGTCGTGATCAATGGTCAGGTGCATAGGCGAGTATACGTTACAGAAAATGACTTAGACTCTGTTAATTGACTCCCATTATGTTTTGCTGACTCTTTAATGACAAGTTGTGCTATTGTTAGCCATTTGAAACCGCTGCAGCTTTTTTACACTGACCAGAATATAGTTACCGTATTTTGACTAATTTAAAACATTTAAAACTTTGCCTTCCATTGGGTAGTTAGTAATGGTTTTTTGCTCATACTCCAGAAGATATCTGTGAAGTTAAATTCTGGAGGTTTATCTGATGACAACTCTAACTTGTTTATTGCGAGCTAAAATGACCAGCAATCAGTTAATACAGATTACAGAATCACAGAATCATTAAGGTTGGAAAGGACCTTCGACGAGATCACCAAGTCCAATCATCAACCCAACACTACCATGACCCCTAAGCCATGTCCCAAAGTGCCACCTCCACATGTTTTTTGAACACTTCCAGTTAGAAACAGGGAGTCATTACAGTTGCAAATTGCATTAATTTGAGTACTGAAACAGCATCCCCACTTTTGGGTATCACAAGCCCACCAAAGTTTGTGGGTAGTTTTATGGGGAAAAGATTTCTGGTAGCAAAAAGCTTTCCTTCATCCAGCAGAAGTCATCATGTTATGTTTCAGTTTCATGTTATGTTCCAGTAGCTGAAAGTAAGTAACTCTAGATGAGAAATAAAGTAGTTTTACAAAATAAGTACAAGTAAATAAAAAAAAAACTATCAGAAATAGTGTGGCCAGCAGGAGTAGGGAAGTGATTGTGCCCCTGTACTCAGCACTGGTGAGGCCACACCTCGAATCCTGTGTTCAGTTTTGGGCCCCTCACTACAAGAAGGATGTTGAGGTGCTGGAGCGTGTCCAGAGAAGGGCAGCGAAGCTGGTGAGGGGTCTGGAGCACAAGTCTTATGAGGAGCGGCTGAGGGAACTGGGGTTGTTTAGTCTGGAGAAGAGGAGGCTGAGGGGAGACCTTATCGCTCTCTACAACTACCTGAAAGGGGGTTGTGGTGAGGTGGGTGTTGGTCTCTTCTCTCCATTAACTAGTGATAGGACAAGAGGAAATGGCCTCAAGTTGCGCCAGGGGAGGTTTAGATTGGATATTAGGAAAAAATTCTTCACCGAGAGGGTGGTCAGGCATTGGAACAGGCTGCCCAGGGAGGTGGTGGAGTCGCCATCTCTGGAAGTGTTCAAAAAATGTGTGGATGTGGCGCTTCAGGACATGGTTTAGGGAACATGGTGGAGCTGGATTAATGGTTGGACTTGATGATCTTGAAGGTCCTTTCCAACCCAGTGATTCTGTGATTCTGTGAAATGACTACAAAAAATACTTGGGGATCTGATGGATTCTCTGTCATTTTGACTGTGTACATCAAAATTTGGTCCCCTTGGGCAACAAACAATCTTTCCTTTTATTTTTCCCACTTAGGTAAAGATCATAATTTCAAGAAATATGATGATAAAACATCAGACTTCCTGAATGTTCCCTATGACTATACTTCTGTGATGCACTATAGCCAAAATGCATTCAGGAATGGAACTGAACCCACCATCGTCACTAACATACCAGACTTCATGGATGTGATAGGACAGCGAATGGATTTCAGTGATTACGATCTCCAGAAACTGAACCGGCTGTACAATTGCTGTAAGTTTCTCCATTTCTTTTCTATTTTTTTGCTTCTGGCATTTGAAAGAAATGAGGGTGATACATACATACTGGGGTCATCCAGGCACAAGTGAAAGAAATGGTAACATATTTGGAGAAGTGTATTGTGTTAAAAACACCAAAAATAATGGTACAGCTAGAAATAACTTAGCCCTCCTGCAGAAACACTGCTGTGTAGCAGAGTTTACTGTGCAATCTCATCTGACCTTTAGTTAAAAACCAGCTTCACTCAGCAGCTGATTTTTGTTCATCCCTTGGGTAGCTGTTTAAAATGTGGGCTTCTGCACAAAGCTTTTTTTTCTTTTCTCCCATTATTCCCCAGCTGTAGAGAAATGAGCATCTTTGCTGTGGCTATCCTACCTACCCCGCTCTCATGCAATCTGTGAGACAGGGTGTGTGTTCATGCAAATGGGGTGCAGATGCTGTTATGAAGGAAATCTGAACTTTTAAAATTTTTATTCTTAGTTTCAAACCCAGTCTCTTTCAAAAGTGGTCAACAGAGTTGTTTGGTCCTGTGAGATTTATTTTAGAAAGTTGAGTGATAATAAGAGAGAGAGAAATATAGATAATTCTATCACCAAACTGGAATACAGTTCTGTAATTGTGACTGCATCAAATGTGCCCTGAGACTCAGATGGAAACTTTTACTCACTGACTCAGTATCCCAAGTAGTGAGTACAGGTTTACAGTTACATTTTAAGCCTTGTTCTACAAATACATTAAATAATTATCAAACTGTTTTATTAAAACAGTGCATTTTTTTGAGCATACAATTCTGATGAAAATATTTCTGGCCACGGAGGTCTAAACTGAGCACACACTTACAAGCAGCCTTAGCTTCTAGCACTTGGCGCACAGTCAGTTAGGTGTTACAGAAGTGCTTACAGCTAAGGATGTCTTTAACAGTGGATGTTAAAGACGTTAATCTTATATACTTTCCATCATTCTTGTACATTACATAAATACTTTATGACATTTTCACTTTATTCTTAAGCCATAGGTACATTTCCCAAGTGAAATAAGCCCCAATCATGTTGAAATTAGTGACAAAACTGCCACCACCTTCAGTGCAATCAGGATCTGCTCTGTTCCCCAGTCTGTCCCTTGGCTTCGTATAGCATGCACGATATTTGCAGATCCATAAGTGGTCTTCAGATCACCCGCCATTTGCCTAAGTGGCCCCCCGTGCCCAGGAGGACGGGTGCTTCACAGGTCCCAGCCCTCTCCCACCCAGCTGCTAGACTGTCCTTTCAGGCTAGAGGGAAGACTGAGAACACCAAACATGGTTTGGGTGGCAGATATTCTCCCAGAGGAATCAAAAGATTTCTTCTTCTGCTGAACATGACTTAAGGAAAAGTTTAAGCCAAATTTCTGCTGAAGGCCCGTGTGGTTAGGAAATCGCATTAAAAATGGGAAACTTGGTTCTTAAATTGAAAAAAACCAACCCACAGCATAAGAAATCCTGACTGATGATGCTGTTCTGATCTCTTCTTCATGGCTGTCTTTCAGGCCACATGATAATAGTAGATTTTAGTCTGCTTTCCCCTTCTAGCAAGTCGCTTAGAACAGACCACGAGCTTTCCCTCAACCACTGAAGTTAGGACTCAGCACTCATCCCCCATGTATTTTCTTCCCAGTCCAGCCTTTCACTACATACCAAGAAAGTATCTGGCTTTTGGTGCAGATGGAGTTCAAAACCCACCTCAAGCAGTGCCCCCTCCCCCTATTTAATTAATTAATCCAAGGAATACATTGCAAGCTATTGGGTCTTGTTTTTCTCTCTTCTGTTGTTCAGGTCACCACTCCATGCCAGCAGGCACTTTCTAATTAAAGTACTCAGGCTACTGCTTTCCTGTTGGGGTAAATTGATTTCATATTTTGTTTCATATTTTGATTTCAGAGAGTTCTTTCATGTAACAATTCTCCATTTTTGCTTACCTTCTTGCTGACACCCTAGCTGTTTGGTTTTTTTTTCTCCAGCAGTCAATATAACATTTATTATGAAAATCTTTTCTTGGTTTCTATAACATCATACTAATACTATATCTTAAAAGATGACAGTGATACAACACTTCTGATAGCTGTGAAACTTGTAGAGGATTGTTAGCTTTCTATGAGGACAGTAAAAAAAAAACCTCAGCAATACAACTGATTTGGCAGCAGTTCATACACAAGTACCTCCCTGAGCTACACCCTAAGTGAAGGATTTGGTGTGCCATTGAGGTTGATTTTTCTGACACCCAACGTCCAATTTGTGGTGCAATGAAACCTTTAAACCTGCCGCGATATTTTATACGTAATTGGAAAAGCAGTAATCATGCATCATTTTATTAATTTAATTGTCATCAAATCATAGCCAGTGTTACACAGAGCTCAGACATGGTACAGTGAGAAACAAATCTAAGAATAGGGACAAACCTGGACTGTGTCTTCCCTCACCCATCCAGGGTTTGATTTAGAGAGAGAAAACACATCACACAGTACTTGCCCTTTCCTATTCAACAGTCACAGTCACAGTTCACTTAATTTTTCACTTGTTATATGCAAGACATCTTACCAATTTGTATGAGATGAGATAGCCAACTGTTCCCAAATGTACCTTTGCCAAATGTTTTTTTCAGTTCAGCATTTTGAAAATCAAGGTTTGCCCATTGCAGTGAAATAACTTCTGCTCTACCATAATTCAGCATAAGCACTCCAGCTGATACAGTAGTGAGCTTTTACCCAAACCTGTGGCCATGTGTGGGCTGGCCCAGCGAAGGCAGAGGAACCCATGGGAAGTCTCAGGACCTTTTGGCTGTGTGAAGGTGGGTGGGTTGGGCCTGGTATTAGTGTTCCTTTCATAAAAAAAAGATGTGATATGATAATTAGCTGGCACCCTCCTGTGCTTGCTGAGTGCCCAGAGTGGTCCTGACGACATCTTATTAATGTCAGTGTTAATTGCCAAACGCTTTGAGTTCCTGACTATTATACCTATGAATGTTGATGGTATTTGAAGCCGCTGATTATTTGGTGTTTGCATTTAGTCTTTATCTGCCCTTGGCTTTGGACATTTGGGATTAAAATATATGTTGTGTAATATTCACAAGTTGGGGTTTTCTTTTTTTTTTTTTAATATTATAGCCTCCTCCCTAAGTTTCATGGACACATGCAGTTTTGAACTTGAAAATATATGTGGCATGATTCAAAGTTCAGATGATAACAGTGATTGGCAGCGTTTGTCTCGTGTTCCTGCTGGGCCAAATACTGACCACACTAATATGGGAGAATGTGAAGGTATGAGAAAAGACTGTTCTTATCTCTCTGGGAAATATTTTCTGCAGAGGGATGTGAGTTGACTTCGATCTTGGCCTTGTTCTCTGTTTATTTATTGACAAATTACAGTTTAATTTTTAACTAAGCAACATAAATCTACATACTTAGGGACATCATGTGGTACATTCGATTTTGTGCTTATTTGGGAAGATTGAATATTCTTATCTCTTTTGATCTGTTTTCTAGTTTTAGTGTCACATCCCGACACGAGAACTATATAAAATTTTCTAACCTATAGTACAGGCACACCAGAAAGATTGCTGCTTTTCTGAATAATTGCTCAGGAAGTCTTTGGAAAGGATTGGGATTTAGAAATTGTGTATATTATCAAGACTCAGGTGAATAATTACTCAAGAATATAGCCAGTTGTTTCTGAACCTGTCAGAGAAAACGTCATGAGTTCAGGAGCTTAAACCAGTCCTACAGAAAGAGAGTCAGCTGTGAATTACCGGCACTGGGTAAAGTGTAAAGGCCCATGCTTTTGAGTACAAATTGCTAGAGACAGCCAAATGAGGAAAAAAAGTTGCAAGGAGAACAGTTCTACCTGTGGAGAACGTGAACAGGTAACAGTCCTCAGTCTGGGGATTTCTACAGGATCTACCTTACCCTGACTTGACCATGTCTTCTAGTGTTATTACAACACAGACACAGCGTTAAGAATATCAGTACGCCAGGAAAATTTTGGGGTGTTTTCTCTCCTCTACCATTCATTTCTCATTGACTTTTGGCAGATTCTGGCTACTTCATGCATTTCAACACCAGCGCTGGAGCAGAGGGAAGCACAGCTCTCCTGGAGAGCCGAATTCTGTATCCCAAAAGGGGTTTTCAGTGCTTACAATTCTATTTCTATAACAGTGGTCACGAAAGCGACCAGCTGTATGTTTGGGTCAGGGAGTATACTTCAGCCCATCCGAACGGCACTTTGAGACTCATTGAAGAGATAAAAGGTATGGAATTTTGGTTTAATCTATACTCAATATCCTTTTCAAAGTACTGTGGGAAAATACTGTAGCAAAGTGACTCATCTCCTAGCGTTATTCTTCGACTTCTTCTCTAACTATGCAATTGATTCTCTGTTGATGGAATTATACTTGATGGATCCTCACTCAGCCATTTCCCTGTAATATAATCAATTACCACAATTTACAAACTCTTACGTTATCAAGATAGTTTTCCCACCAAATAGATAAAATTCCATGAACAGTCTTTTTAACTGTTCTAGAATTGCTGGTATTGATAGCAACAGATGAAGTTGGTCATTAGAGTAAATTACAATGAATAAGAAAGTAATAATAAAGAAATGGAAAGTAGAAGTGCCCCGGAGTACGTAACATACAAGTTTAAAAAAGATAAATAAAATTTAGCTTACTTTTTAAGCAAGGTTTGAAATGACTTAACTGAAATACATCAGTAGCAGATCATGACTTGAGTTGTAGTCATGATGTAGTCATGTAGTTCAAAGAAAATTAAGTTCTTATGGTTTTAGGAGCCTATGGCCTGCAGAATGAGCAACTGAGGTCAGTTAATGGGCAAGAACTCTTTAAGCTAGAATTGCCAAAGACACCTTATGATTAAATTACTTTCTCAAATATTTAACTGTTACTTGGTCTCCATTACAGCTACAACTAGTTCAATCTTCTGGTCACATAAGGGTCTGAACAGGTTCTTTTACTAAGTATCTATCTGCCTCTTTTTGTGTCTTTAGGCTCAGCTACTGCTCATGCCTCTTTTTCTTTTCTTTTTTCCACTCTTTTCTTCACCCTGATGCTTTCATCATCACTGTCTGCCATCAGGAGTCCTTAATATAAGTGTCAGGGCTGCTGAGGCAGAGGTAGATTTCAGATCAGTCCGAGCCCTCCAAACTCTTCAGAACCCTACTTTGAAGCCAAGATGATTTTCTCCACACTTCAGCTTTCTTCACAAATACTCTTTCACATATATTAGGTCCCATCTACCATTCCTGCATTCTCAAACCCATAATTTCCTTTTAAGTCTCTGATCTCATATATGTGTCCAAACGGGCATCCTACTTTGATAATCTCTGGTAACACTTGCAGGAATCACAGAATCACAGAATCACTAGGTTGGAAAGGACCTTCAAGATCATCAAGTCCAACCATTAATCCAGCTCCACCATGTCCCCTAAACCATGTCCTGAAGTGCCACATCCACATGTTTTTTGAACACTTCCAGAGATGGCAACTCCACCACCTCCCTGGGCAGCCTGTGCCAATGCCTGACCACCCTCTCAGTGAAGAAATTTTTCCGAAGATCATTTTTTTCCCCCAAGCTGTTTCACCTCTCTCATGTGAGAAGTTACCCTCACCAACGCGGTCAACAGATGGGAAGAAACAGTGACACTGCAGCCCTTTCCAGCCACGATCTGACATCCTGGCTGAGCTGCTCATGGGTTTGCACTGAACCACCATGCTCGAGAGGCTGAGGGACAAGCCCTGAATCCCTTCTGCTGGTCTGTGGCAGCTGTGGTGGCCTTCAGCTGGGAGCAGGGGAGGCTCTGGGACATTTTACAGCACAGTAGCTGATCTGCTCGTTGAACATGAGTCAGAAACCCCAGTCTTGCATATAATGTGTGCAGTTCAAAAAACCTTTAGCTTATGCAGGAGGCAATTTAATGGAAAACAGTGGGGTGCTTTTTGTTCTCATTTCTGGGTTTGTTTTTTTTCTTCCTAATTATAATGGTAATGAAAAATGGCAAGAAATTAAGACTCGTATCTGAGAACCGTTGTGTTGTGTTTATAATTGTTAGGAGAATGACGCATGAATTCTGTGCCTGGGATTGGCACTGCTTATTCCACAAATGCAGCTGAAAGTCTGGTCTTCCGTGCAGCTGAACATAAGCCAGACAGCAAAAGAAACTGTTTTGCTGCACATACTGTTAACAAAGTATGTCCTACTTTCACCTGCCTTACAAGGCTGCTGTGCAGAGGTCTTTGCTTTTGCGTACAGCGCTCTTGGGAGTCAAGTGGAATCTGCTAGAGCAGGCACTTTTGGATGCAGAATCAGACTCGCAGTGAGGTTTTATCACATGAAGTAGGTTTTGCAAATGACTGGCTATAATTTGAACTTAGTACCATTAATCATTTGATGGGTGAATAGCGCTTCTGCATAGGCAAACTTTTGACAAGCCATTTAAATGTACAAAAACAACCGAAAGAACCAGTCTTGTAGTTATAGGCTCCCAGAATCCTCTGTAGCATTTTTTGTTGAGACATGTTGTTATTCAGTTACTTGAGTTATGAAGTTTTTTCTTTTTCATAATAAAGGTGACAGCCATCTTTGTGCATTTAAATATCACAACATTTGGACTAATCTAATGCAATGTTCTTTAAAAATAGAAAAGAAAAAGCAGTCTTAAAAACCATTAACACTGTTTTCACTCAAATTAAAGAGCTGCTACACATATTAAATTTGTTGGAAAATTGAATTGAGACAGTATGATCTTGCACTGAAAAACTAGCTATACAGGAGACATATTCCATCATGTCAGTGTCGGTCGAACTGAGAAATTCTTACACAGTGTTGGTATAGGGTCTATACACCTGTGTAGTGTTTGACTGTACTGCTTACTCAGAAATCCCTACCCTTGTTTTTCAGGTTCACCTGTGAGTTACTGGCAGCTCCATCATATTTCTTTGAATGTCACAAGTAAATTCCGGGTTGTGTTTCAAGGCATGAGAGGAAGCGGTTTGTCAAACGGAGGCCTCTCTATTGATGACATCAACTTGTCAGAAACTCAGTGTCCACACCACGTCTGGCATATCAGAAATTTCACACATCTCCTCAACACAAGTCCAGCAGGGAAAGCAGGAAGTATATACAGTCCACCTTTTTACTCTAGTAAAGGATATGCTTTTCAGGTCAGCTTGTTTATAAATGGTACCACCGATAACCCATTCAATTTAGCAATGTACTTGTATTTGATTTCTGGAGCAAATGATGATCACTTGCAATGGCCCTGTGCATGGCAACAAGGTACCATGATTCTGCTTGACCAGCATCCTGATATTCGTCAACGGATGTCAAACCAAAGGAGCATAACAACCGACCCCCTGAAATTATCAGGTTAGTTGAAATCAGATGTGCTATCTAGTACGTTTAAAACACAGCCAAAAGGTAAGGAGTTAAATTTTCTCTTTGTGTAAATCAGTGCAATTTTTTTCGCTTCCGGAATGTTTCATTTGTTTTCAGCAACAATATAAGTGATGCACAGACAAAAAATTTAATGTACAAGTATGTTAAACTGGGACCCTGGATTTCAAAGTTGATTTGCATAAGAAATAAGTGGCTGACCCAATCCTAAAATTTCTCTCATATGCTCTGTGAAGATGCATTCATATTTGTTTTAATGAGAATGGAAATTTTCCAGAAGGCTTGAAAAGAAAAATACTGAATTAGCAATACACACAGTTCATACCAGATAAAAATGCAGCTATTAAACAAATACCCTCCCTCCTTGTAAAAGGTACAGTGGTGTCAGCGCAAATCTCCAGATGGACAAAGTACTGATTCATATTACATAATCTGTACTTGTTCAAGGTATGAGAAGATAAGAGCAATTGTCCACAATAACTTGGAAAGGAGGCAGCTGAAGTAAAGATGTAACTCTAAGAAATGGTAGGAATCTCTATAAAGTGAGACATTAAAGAAAAACTCCATATTCATCATTAGATAAAGATTGGATTTAAGCCAAAATGACTTTCTGCATCGATATAGGAGTTTTGACAAAAGAAACTCCCTCCACCACTGAATTAGTTTCCTGGGCTTTCAGACTGTAACATTAGACAAGAAAGGTACAAAAATATCTAATACACCATATTATTTAAAAAAATGAATAATTTATACTCATTTTTCTATGACACTGTCTCTACATGAAAGCAATGTGGGTAATCCAGGAAGACCAAATGTCCTCCCCTGTAAATGAAAGAGGCATCACACCAGGTCCTTCATAGATGGTTGATATTTTCCCCATGCTCTCTGCTGTTATGGCCACAGTGCTCAGCCCTTTTCCTTCCCTGACCCTGTGGCCGTGCAGTCTGTTTGCACTCTGCTCCTTCTCCCTTGTTTATTCCCAAGAGAAGCCTTGTAACTCCTATCTTTTCTCTAACCAGCAGAGATGTTGGAGTAGGCAGTTTCTTGTCCCTTTGTTAGATACTTTCATAGACAGTCAAGCTCAGCTTTGAGATTTAGAACAGGGTTTGGTGGAGGGGACATCCGTGGCCCGTGACCATTCAGGTTGTTCAAGTACTCTCTGCCCTACATCTACATCAAGAGATGCTCTCTTTTGAGAAGCATTGAATTAATTCTTTTTACAGATAATTAGCATGCTACTCAAATTCTTGCTCACTAAATTTTAAAAGAACTAAAAAGAAAATACAACAGGTTTTCAACTAGTTCTCCAATAACCCCATCTCCATCAGGCTCTTTTCTCAATACCTCAGGCTAAACCAAGCCATTGAAGATCTCCATTGACTTGTGCATCTCATCACTATGGAATCTCAGGCAAAAAAAATCTGCAAATATTGTAGGCAGGTTCAGCATTGCTCCTACTCCTTGACTTTCAGGTAATTCATTATCTTCTCAATATTCATCACATCCATGAGCAACTAAGCAGAAGCAGGCAAAGTAGGATGTAGTCTGTCTTGGTTGTTGAGAGAGGCCTCAGTACTACTTTGCAGCAGAGGTTATCGGAGAAGGAAGGGACCCTACTGAGAAAGAAATACAGAGTAGTCCCACACTCACATTCAGGTTTGTTGTTTTTTTTTTTTCCAGATTCCTCATCAAGTTATTTTTGGGATAGGCCAGATAAAGTGGGATCCATAGCATATTTTCCCAATGGAACTGCATTCATGAGAGGTCCAGGAAGTGGAACGAGTGCATTCTTAACCCATCAGAGACTTAGAAGCCGTAACTTTATTAAAGAAGACAGTGTTTATATTCTTTTAACAATGGAAGGTATGTAAACATAGCTGATATTCTTTATGATACAGTAAACATGGAGTGTCACATACTAAGTCACTAGTGCTGTAGATATAAATACACGTGATGTACTTTGCAAAGGAGCAGTTTTGGAACTACACATGTATCTAAAGTCAAATCATATGTTTGGATAAATTTGTGGATAGGTACATGCACTGTGTAATTCCTTTATCTCTTGTGAAGGGTGTATAAAGCAATGTTAATCCTATGCAAATTATTTTGAATAGAGTACTTTGAATAAAATTGGCTGTTTCTAAAAAAATCTAGAGGACATTTCCAAAATACATCATGCTCCGGAAAGGTAAAAAGGACTATTTATCCATTATATCTATGGCCAGGCTCTTTGCTTTCCACTATTAGAACTTCTTATTAGAATAAGAAGAAAAATACCATGAAGTAAAGACCTTATTTCTTGTGTTTTTATTATGCAGATATATCACATCTACTATCAACTCAGCCGAGTGTTTCACCCACCTTTGCTATGAATACAACCAGTCCCAGCACTATCAAACCTACCTCTAACGTCACTGCCACCACCAAGCCCGCCACTGCTACCAAACCTACCACGAAGCCTACTGCCACCACAACACCCATCACAACAGCCTCTGTCACCCCGACCAAGGTTCCCAACTTCTGCTCAGACAACCCTTGTGAAAATGATGGTGTTTGTGTTATTGTAGATAAAGAATCGGTGTGCAGGTAACTGCCTTTATTCACCCTCAAGTGCAATTTTGGATGAGTAATGAAAGTTTCTAGCAGAATAAATCTTTGTTCTTAATGAGAGGAAAGACAGACTATAGCTGATTAAGGCAAATATTTCCAACTGCTACTGTGAGACTAAACTTATAACCAGTTTGGGCAACAAAGCTCCTAACGTCAGCATTTGACCATTTTGAAGTACTCTGCTTGACTTCCCTGTAAATTGTATTTTAAATGTATTTATTGTTTTCAGTAATGTATGAGTCCAATGTTATAAAATGGACTGTGCATCTCCTTAGAAGTCCCGATAGCAAAATTTACAAGAGTTAACTATAAATGCAGCTGAAAGAAAATGGCATTTATATCAGTAGAAAAGATGTTCAAGACTTTGCAGGCAGGAAGCAGCGTAGACATTATTTTAGAATCTGATTCAGAAATATTGTGTACTGTAAATTATGACCAGGAATTGCCAAAGTGTAGTTGCTTGCCTTTGAAACCAGAGATGAAGGCTGAGGACTAAAAAGATTGTTCGCCCTGCAAGAAAATTAATACGAACTTTTATTTAATTCTCTGTGGATACACTTATGTAACCCACCTGGATGACCAGCATTGTTCCAGCTCTCCAACAGGCTCTACGGCTGAAGATAGTAACCTTATGTGATGCTGTGCAAGGGCAGGTAGGCTGGGAGAGTGCTGTGAGGCAAACATCTAAAGGCCGAGAGCAACGAGAACCGGGATGACTCATTAAGTGTTCTCTCTCTCCATTTAGAGACCTTTTAAAAAACAATTCTTGTGCAACCCGTCAGAAGCAGGTCACAAATATGAGTAAATGTCAAGAAGCGGTTCCAAGAAGGCAAAAAAAAAAGTTATACTGAATGTCATGCCTGATTTCGAAATTATGGAAAGAAAACTTTTATTCTCTGACATCGCTGGGCTATTTGAAGCTCTAGTGCCTATGTGACCTACTTTCCACCCTAGAGAAGTGTGTGAACAGCAGTCAGTTTCCGCTCCGGTTTTCTATGGCGAAACGAGGGGGGATGTGATACGTAACCCTATTTAAGCTGGATCACGTGAAGTCCCCCAAGAGTGAGCATCCTTGCAGCGCACTTCAGATGGACTCATTTTCAGGGCTGAACGTATAGTTCTGAATAAATGGCTTAGACGGGAACTAGAAGACCTGTAACATTAGGAACATCCAGGGTTAGAAAGATAGGGCAGGTGTACACTCAACGGTACTGCACACATGTTTTTTTTCAGTTAGATCATTGGGACCCTCATATGCTTACTATAAAATGTTTCGGAGCTGATAGTGATGCTGGATAAGGTGAAGGAATCAAGGCCTGGAGGTTGTTTATAGTCCTAAAACCAGATGACCGCTAGGATGTTAATTTCTTTCCTTACCTTCTTCTTGGGGGAGGGCAGAGGCAGCTCATACAAGTTCTTTAAATTTGAAAATAAGCCCCTTTCGGCAATGAGAAGATCTGATCAGAACATAGCACATCTACTAGTGGAGAAGTGGTGGGAACATCTGTGGCCAGCTCAGTCCTAGAACTGGACAATTCCTGCTCCTAAGCTCTGGTCAGTTGCTCTCTGGGCAGCGATGCCTTGAGAGTCAGGCCTGTGGTCTCCACCCCATTTACCCCGCAGGTTTGAATTGCTGCCCAAGCTGAGCTTAGAATTAAAAAGGCAAAGAACACGTGAGGAAATAGGTGGATGACGTTTTCTGGAGGGTGGTAAATGTGGCTTGGTTGGATAAAAATAGCAGTGTAAAGCTTCTGGACCACTTGCCCTAGGAGCTTATTCCACTCCTTCCTATAAAGGCTTTTTAAAACTGACTGAGTGAAGAAGATAGAAGGGCTTTGTGTAAAAGCTGAGCATGACAAAGGGCAGAACTGCACCAGGATACGAGGCTAATTAGTAATAGTGGAAGCAAATATTACATGACAGTGGTGCTAGTGACAGGTATCAGTTTCATGGAGCAGAAAGTGGTTTTCTATCAACAGAAGTGCTATAAACTTCGAGGAAAAGGAAGCAGATGATAAGTGAAGTGAGTGATCCAGAGGGCATCTCTATTCATATCAAAAGATGACCATTCTGTCGCAGCAGCTCTATAGATCAGCTGCAGCCAAGTGTTAAGCAGTCAAAAGGATCAGGATGGCCCTTGAGTTTTCTGGCAAGGGCTCTCTCTGAAGACGTGACCTGTAAAACAGTGGGAATCTGAAAGATGCACATCCAAGTGTGTAAGGAACAGTAGGGCACACAAGACAACTTCAAAATAGAAGTCCATTTTAAGATAATTATGCTTTGGGACATAGTGCATCAGAGGTGCCCTTGTTTTTTAAGTAGCCCTTTTAATGCCTTTAATCTTTAGGTGATACCACAAGTTTGTTCTTTTACTTTCTAGGTGTCCAGCAGGTGACAACTGGTGGTACATGGGAGAAAAGTGTGAAAGGAAAGGCTCAACTGAAGAAAACACTATAATAGCTGTTTCTTCAACCATAGCTGTATTTGTTGTAATGCTTATTGTCACCATCACAACTGCGGTGTGCCTTAAAAAGAAATACAGCCAAGGAAAGCAAAATGGTGAGAGCCTGAGTCTAGAAGAAGTAAGTATTTTGCCTTTTTCAACACTGATATATATATATTTATTAAAAACGTACACATACAGTAAAAAAGGAAATTGGAAGATGTAACATTTTTAACGTCTGAAGACCCCGGCTTTGGAGTTAAAGAGCTCCATTAAGTACTACTAATTTATCAAACACCAAAAAGACACTTCATTCAAAACCTGTTCTCCTCCATCACCCCCACCACTGTTACTGCACTGATGGCAGCCGACATTGAGTGGGAGAGTTTGAACAAAGTGGGTTGCTTTCAATTTGTAACTAAACCATGTCTTCCACTTTGTGGACTTGTATTTAAACTATTCCTGCATTTTCTACTAAAGATCTCCCTTAAAACACCTGGCTATAGTGCTAAAAAACCCAACCCAAAATGCCAAAACAAACAGAAAATGTAAAAATCAGTTTCTGTGTTCAATGGCTATTTTCTGTGCAAGGAGCAAAGTAGCCGTGGAAATTGTGACTCAAGGAGAATTAAAAGAAGACCGTAGGTTAAAGTTATCATCTGAATGACTGGATCTGAAAGGTCATGTAGTGAACAGGGGAGACATTTGGGCAGGTTTTGACAAGAAGTTTCATGAAGGGCCAGGCATCTGGACTCTTAGTTTAAACAGAGACTTAGTCTTGAAAATAGACATGACACAGCTTAGAGGGACTCACAAGGCACAGCAGAAAAAAAAAAGGAATTTTGTAAGCAAACTGAAGAGGGATGGCCTTTCAGAGAGCAGACTTCCATTTTGAGTTTTGTCCTAATATTTTTTATGTGATGTCCTGCTGAGGTGCAGTACCTCTGCAAAATGCCAGGTACTTGACACTGTTACTTTATGACCTTCAAATAAATTATTTAGATTTCTTTCTAGGTAACGTCATACACGTATTTCCCTTCCCTACTCACTTTTAAGATGTGGGTTTGGTTTATTTTCTTTGTTTTTTTTTTTTTTCTTCTTCATTTAGAATAGAACATCCTTCTGAAGATAATGCAAACAAGCATCAAAGACGCAAGATGAACGTCACTGCAAAAACCACAACGATGTCATCATTCTTTCTGTTACTTTTATCTCAACCACCATGATAAAAATTTGTAAAATCTGGAAAATAATTCATCATCTGGATAAAATACTGTGCTAAAGTCAGTAAAGTGTCTGACAGTGTTGTGTATCGCCGTGCAATGCAGGAAGATGGAAATACGTTGTGTGGCATGCCTGCCCTGTCCTTTAAGCCTACCTGAACATGGAGAAAACATGTAAAACTGCATCCTGACTTTCAACCAACACAGTGAAGTCTGGATTTGCTATCTTATCATGATACAGATGTCTAAAATCAAAGGGAGCTGAACCCTGTAATCACGGGGTATCCAGCGGTTCTGAGTCCTGCAACAGCTGTCAGTCAGTAGTGTGAGGGTATGTGGAGTGTGGGAGCATCTAGTTCATTAAGTTATTTGGTTGTGATCTACTCACTATAAAATAAATAACAAGTAATGAGGAAAATTATAAATTAACCATACAGACGCATGAACATTAATGAGGAAGTCACAAGAGAGACAATAATGAGAACCCAGAGTGCCTCAGCTGATGATTGATGGGTCATTAAAGGAACTACTCAGGCAGAGCCTTCAAGAATATCAACCTGAACAACAATTTTTAACTTATAGGATGGGGGAAACATGATTAACATGAGTATTATGGGATACTTGAGGCTTCTTAGGATATGGGCTATCAGAAGAGGCGTATAGGCTTATGTAAAAATGACTATGAGATGTTTAGGGGAAAGGCCAAAGGATCCAAAAGAAAGGGGAAAGATCACGGTGCATCAGTGAGGAACTAGTGGGGAAAATAGAACCAGCAACTGGAGAGACTGGCCTGCAACAGATATCTGTGTGACAATGACCAGAGAGGAAGCCAGAGGTCTTAGGGCCTGTGGGTTTAGGTATGAACACATGAAGGGACTAGTGTGGGCCGTATGGCTTGTAGGTCTAAATGCTGGTGGCTGGAGGGACTGGTGTGTGTGTTTTGTATGTGTATGGAAAGGTCCAAGCGCCAGCAACTGGAGGAGGTGCCATGGGCACCAGAACTCTAGGTCTAGGTGGCAGCAGCTGGAGGGATCAGGTTGTACGCGGGTGTGTGAGAGGTCTGAGTGCCGACAGCTGGAGAGATCTGAGTGTGTTTATATTTGTTCAGTGAAATTAATCCTCTGTGTGTGTACGTATCATCCACGAGCAAACTTCAAGATGGACTAGGTGGTGAATTGGAGGATACATTTCCACATCTGGAAGGCTTGGCCAGAGCCAGTGGTTGGTGAGGGAACCCAGAGTCCAGGCATGGATATTGGGCAGACTGAGATTTAAAGGATCTGTGATTGTGGGAGTGCTGATGCGACAAGCGTGTAAGCGCGTGCGTCTGTTTGGCATCACACGCAAGTAGGAGGTGACCTGCATAGCACTTAAAGGACCCCAGGTCCAGGCATGGATATTAAACAGTTTTAGAGGCTAGTCTAACGTTCAGCCCAGTGAATGTGGGTGTGCTTATGGAGGTGGAGAATGAGGGTACATGTTTTCACCAGAGAACCTCCGTTCTGATCGGCTGGAGGGGAGGAGGAGGATGGGGCTGTCTGCATTTGTGTGAGTTCAGGTGGTGTTTTAGGTGGCTGCTGCTACCTCTGTGTGTGTGCAGCCAGCCACGCCAGGGACCTCTCTGTGCCTGTGTCTCTCGGGTACACACTCACCCTTGCTGCAGGCCAGACCTGCAAGCAAGAGCAGCGGCTGCACACCTGGGGCTGGGATGGAGAGATCACCTGGCACCGCTCCTGGCTGGGCACCTTGGCTGGGGAGGAGGGATCCCGGGGCTGCTGGATTTGGTGGCTCCCTTAGCACCCTTGACAAGTAGGGCTAAAATCCAGTGGGGTTTGGACAACAGAGTAGGCATGGAAATAGGCGAAGGGCCAGGGGAGGCAAAGTGTCCTTCCCCGAGGACAGTTTGCAGAGGAAGATGGCAGTCACCATGGGCACAGATCATCACATTTGCCGTGTTTTGGAGAGGGGCTGCAAGAGGCAGGAGTGCCAGTAATAGAAATGTCAGGTCACACCAGATGGTTGGTAGACTGGTATGTGAATATGTTCACATTTAAAGGTCAGCAGCTACTTTGATTCCCTGGAATGGATGTTGATGATCATAACATTTGTCATGCAGTTTACCCTAACTCTGGGCAAGAGCAGTTCAAATGTATGGAAATTTGATGAAGGAACTAGTCTTCCTCTAAAAGCTACTGCACAGCACAGAGCCACAGATATGTATGCTTCTGTACCGACATTACATACGTAGTCCTCCTCTGATTAACATTCTCTGAAATGGAGTTATATTTAAAGCATTCATAGCTGGTTTTATCAGCTTTTGTTGGAACCCAAAGATTCATGAAAACAGCCAGATAAAATTAACCAAGATTTGTCAGAGCTAACAAACACCCCGGGTAGGAAGATACCCTACTATAGCTGTCTTTCTTAAAATAACTTTCCTATTTTGACATGTCTTCGTCAGCAGTTTTCATGCAAATCATCCTTCAAATGCGCCTTCAATTAAGACATGCACATAGATTTACATGGAGTTAAGAAGACACAAATGAGACGACGACTATTCATAAATTCAACCCTGGCTAAAAACCTTAACATTTTAATCGGTGAGCATTTCATAATTTCAATTGTGAACTACCGGATTTGTGACTGCAGAGATCATTTATACTTTTTGAAATACAGATTACATGAAATGGCATACATACTACCTGAACTGTAAGCTCTTTTGTGCTTTCATTAGAAGAAAGCTTAATACGTAGAGCAATATATTACAATACATTGTGCAAGATAGATACAAACAGCATAGGGTATGTCCTGAAACAGTAAACTTCCATGGGAAAAAAACCTTAAACTTCTGCTTATTCATTTCAAGCAGGAATCAGTGAGGAGGACAATTTAAAACTGAATTTCCCAGTCAATAAGTAAGAACAACTCGCTTTTCAGTGGTGTGCAGATTCCACAGAGCCAAAAGAGACTGAGGTTTTATTAATGTCATTAAATGACCTAAAAATACTCAAGAGGAAAATAATTTTTTTCCATTTTCAGTGCAGCAAAATTACTCAGGAAGTCCAACATCAGATTCGATATTACACTTTATTGTCTGTCAATCACAAAAGTTATACTACTAGCTCATGTTCCCGAACAAATACATTTTTCTTAAAAAGCTGTAGGACAACTGACTGACTGACTTACAGTGATGGCATTTTTCTCTGAAGAAAGGAGACAAGAGATTAAAAGTATATATGCAGCTTAGGAAATGAGGCATTTCTACTGGAGTTTTCTTCTTTATGAGTATGCTTTACTTGGATTTGTAATTTAACTGGTTGAAGTTGCAATGTCTCGGTAACGGTCACCTCTTGTAAAAACAGCAATGAAGCTTCACCAGCCCAGGTCCTATGGCTTTCCTCTGGAGCTTACTTCCTTGCTTTACAAAGATTTTTCTACATATGGTTACTAGGACTGTGTCCATTATTTATAATGAATCAGCTTAATTTTGGAGACATATATTTGACACATTTACACATAATATCGATAGTCATGACAGAGCAGATGCTGCATTGCTCAGGTGGAGAGCCGTACCTGGGGTTGCAGCGCTTCACGGAAAGGCTGGGTGTTTAGTTTACTTTCTTAAAGCAGATTTATTCATAGAAAGTTTTACTAAAAATCTTTAATGACAGCTTCTCTGTATGAAATCACTGAGATAGATAGATAGTAATATGATAGTAAAATGATGTTAAATCTGCACAAAGTTCCACTTCTCTTTCCCGTCCTTTTCACACTGTGAATGTGATGCAGGTTAAAATTTACAACAAGGATTTGCTCTGCCTCCATCCCTGGAGCCATGCAGGTCAGGCACACTCCACTCTCTACAGATCAGGACTAGTGTAAAAAGCCTGTTAGTGGGTCCCCATAATGTGCAGAGCAAGGGCTTGAGCTGTGGACATTGACTCCGCAGGTCAACTCCACCGCTCCCGTCCTTCATTCAAGTGTGGGTCTCTGCTGGTACGCGGTGGGTGCCCCCTTAGCAAAGTCCCAGCCTTAAGTGAATGTTGTCTCCTCTGCTCCTCCCTTTCTGGGCTCCGGACTAGCTGTACGGCTGGACCCAGCAGAGTATGTGCACATTGTGTTTTGAGCTGTGTGCATGGCTCATTCACCACTGCTGAGTCCATCGTCAGGAGTCACAGCACGGGCTTAAAAATAAAATAAAATAACCCCAACATTCAAATCACTGACTCAGGTTTGGAGTTTAAAAAAAAAAAAAGGTAGGTTGTTGGTCTAGCTACTTACCGGTCTTTCTTCAAGAATCTCAGCATTGCAGAAAATCTTCTAGGCATGCCACCTAATATCTATGCTAAACAGTATACGCAGCCTCATATTCCTGATATAGGCAAACTAGACCAATTTCACTGCTATTTGCATCACACGGATCAGCTCGCTCAGTCTAGCTTTTGCAGAAGTAGCAAATAACTGAATCATAATGTCTAATAGTCTGTCTGGCACTGCATTGTCTAAATGCAAAAAAGGGACTGATCCTAGACACTAGCTCTCCTGTTTCAGCGAAGCATGTCAAGTGCCTCATACCACCCACGCCGGGTAGACACGGTTCCAGGGTGCAGGGCAGGAGTCGGGAGTTGTCACTTTTTTTTTTTCAGGTGCAAATCAGAACAGAGGAGTGGTATTTCTCCATTTTTTTCCCACAGCGCTCCTTTTCCACTGTCACTAGAACTCTGGGGCTTTTGCTAAGACGTAGGTGCCACGTGCCAGTTAGAGTACCTTTGATTCGCATAAATGGGGTCTGAATTCGCCCGTCTTGGACCGTGTTCTCAAGCTATCTTCAGTGCCAGTAGTACAGAGATTTGTGTCTCAAAAGGAGAAGATAAACACCAAATAAACTGCCTTTTCTGAACAG